GAAGTACGTGGAAGTCGTGGTGTGAGTTATATCCTCATCTTCATTGAGGACATTAAAAAATATCTAAAATGGAAAACTTAAGAAATAGCAATATCATTTAGAAACAAGGAGGTAAGTAGCAAAAGAAATGACAAGTGTTGAAGGCAGCTGCTTCTGTGGAGTCAATTTAGTTGGAAGTGCTGTTTATTGTTCTTATTTCTAGATTGGTTAGCCTTTTTCAAGTCCTTATATGTATGACTTTGATAACAAACAATGGTTAAAAGTTATGTGGGTCCAATATGAAAAATTTGGAAAGTGCAGAAAGTGTAAGGAAGAAAATAAGCATTCATAATTCTTCCACTCAGAGAAAGCAACAGTGTGCATATTGGAAGAACGGTATTATTAAACAAATTTGTTGAGATTAAATTATCAAGCTTAAAGATTTAGAATAGTGTAATTTAGATATAAGTGAATACTTAATAAGAATGCAATATTGTATGCATATTGTGGTAGGTACAATTATGTATAGTATGATCATGTACGATATGATTCTGTATGTGTTTACATGTGTATTAGAAAGTAGTCTGGAGGGATACCAACCAAAATGTTACTTGGCAGTGAGCAGGGCAGGCAGTAGGATGGGTAAGCGAGGAGCCTGGGATGCACTATGTGAGGTACTAACTCTCAGGGTCATGCAAGTTCAGGGGATGCATCACCTAAGCTTGAGCGACACCTTCAATGTTGTGCCCAAGGTGCCTCATTTGACCCATCAGTGTCTCGCCCTGGTAGGGACCAAGGTTTATTGGATCAAGGACTCTTGGCCCCTTCTTATTTTACACTTAGATCAAGTTCTTTTCTACTTCAGGTTTAGTACATGGACTGGCAGCATTAGCATCTCCTGGGTGCTTGTTGGATGTGCAGGACTCAGCTCTGCCCAGACCTTCTGTATTTTAACTGAATCCCAGAAAATGTGTGTGCACATTAAAGTTTGAGAAGCACTGGGCTAGCTGGCACTTGATGTCATTGCCCTAATAGGCAGGGCACACACTGCCTGTCCTTTAGAGGACTGTGGTCTCTACTGACAGACTGAGCTTCTGTTGGTGAAGCAATCGAAGTTCAGCCTGATGGAGGATAAGCAGGTGATTTCCCTTGGGAGAAAGAACAATTTGGGGCAATGATGAAAGAGAAGGGAAAGGCTAGTGGGTCTGAAACTGGGGGAAAGAGCAAGACAATAAAGTGGTAATATTCAAACCAAGGAACTCAAGTCCCATGGAGATGAAGAATAACTTAGTATACTATAAAAAAAAGTTTTCCCCAAGATGTGTTTAGGGAATTCTGTTTCAAAATTGGGAGGCTTGGATTAGGGAATTATATTGCAATTATAATTATATAAGTGCAGAGATACTATATTATAAGGTGAGATGAGCAAGACACTCACCTCCTCCTCTTCCTCCACTCATAAAAGAGTTACAAAAAGAATCTGGCCAAGTGTGACCAGATAGGTCGGCAATATAGAAAATATAAAGGAATTGACTCTGTTCAGTGTTTCCATTAACCAGTCAATTAATAAGAATCCTACGAAATGTTAGTTCTCCACTTATATGAGCAAAACAGCAAAATAATATATACTTTATTCATCCTCAATCACTTTCTTTCTTGCCTGCCTTCATGACAGAGCATAAATAGGTGAGTACTGCCCTGGCTCGTGTGGCTTGGTTGGTTGGAGCATCAGTCCGAAAACTGAAAGGTTGGGGTTGAATTCCTGGACAGGGCACATGCCTGGGTTGAGGGTTCAGCCCACGGTCTGGGGAGCATATGAGAGGCAATCAATCAATGTTTCTCTCCCTCTCTCTCTTCCTCCCTTCCCTTCTCTCTAAAATCAATAAACATGTCCTCAGGTGAGGATAAAAAAGTGAAAGCTGACACAATTTTGGTCAACTTAGAAATTGTTTGGAGCAGCCACCACTCTCTGCAGAACGGACTCAGAGTAATCTTTCCAGGACTTGAAGCAGGGTGAGGAAAGCAAGACTTTCACCTTGGTACAAGATTTATGAAGGCAGCAAGTAACTCAGTAATCAAGATATTTTATTGCAGGTACTAGCTGGGTAGCTCAGGTGGTTAGTGTGTCATCCTGATAAGCCAAGATTGTGGGTTTGATCCCCAGTCAGGACACATACAAGAATCAACAAATAAATGCATAAGTAGAACAACAATTTCATGTCTCTCTCTCTTAAATCAATACATTTAAAAAATCATTTTTAAAAGATTTATTTATTTATTTTTAGAGAGATGGGAAGGAAGGGAGAAAGAGAGGAAGAGAAACACCAGTGTGTGGTTGCCCCTAGTGTACCCCCCACTGGGGACCTGACCTGCAACTCAGTCATGTGTCCTAACCAGGAATCAAACCAGCCACCCTTCAGTTCACAGGCCAGTGCCCAGTCCACTGAGCCACCCCATCCAGGGCTATAAAATCAATTTAAAATATATTTTATTGCAATATTAAAATATAATTTTTTAATGCGAAAAACCCCATGATGAACAAAATATCAACATTTAAATAAAGGCAAAATCTGACACCAGTACTAGAGTCAGGCAAATGATGCTGAATCCTGCAAGTGGGATCAGATCAGCCTTGGTTCCAGCTCACTATCTGGGGTGGGTGTAGTGATAGGTGGCTCTTAAGTTTTGTGCCTGCTCCCTAGCTGCAAAGGAATCACGGAGAGTGTATATGTGGAATTTTTAGTTTTAGTGAGAAGTGGGAAACACATGAAAGGGATTTGGGTAGTCAAAAAGAATGACAAACATCCACTACACTCATTAGAGTTATGGTGAAATGTTGTCTACACCCATGCAGAGAGAGCAGCATATTCTGGTGGAGCTATTTTGAGAAAGACTCTAGTACTTATTAGAGTTGAGGTACAGATGAATCAATATAGGAATAGAGAGAGGAGATAATGAAATCCCTCTTCTGACACTGTAAAGGCTCCAAGGAGAAGATAAAAGTTTGAACTGGGCTTTAGAGGGAGGGAAAGAGAAAGAAAGCAGAAAGAACATTGCTTTTGCAGTCAGGAAATAGTGTTCATTTTTTCACTACTTGCTTACTAACTGTGCGAATTCAGGCAAATCATTGTGGTTCTCTGAGTATTACTTTATCAGTAAAAACTCACCCTAAATTGGACAGAGAAAGACAAATACTGTATGACTTCACTTATATGTGGAATGTAAAAAACAAAACAAATGAACAAACAAAACAAAATAGATACAAATCCACAGAGAGAATGAACTGATGATGCTACTAGAGTGGAGGGGTTGGGGAATGGGCAAAAAAGATAAAGGGGGTTAAGACATACAAACTGTACCCTGGCTGCTGTGGCTCAGTGGTTGAGGGCCAGCCTGTAAATCAAAGGGTCACTGGTTCAATTCCCAGTCAGGGCACATGCCTGGGTAGTGGGCCAGATCCCCCGTGGGAGGCATGAAAGAGGCAACTGCACATTGAAGTTTTGCTCCCTCTCTAAAAAATAAATAATTAAGTATATTTAAAAAAAAAGAAATACAAACTGCCAGTTATAAGTTAAGTCATGGGCATACAGCATAGGGAATATAGTCAATAATATTGTAATAGCTGTGTACGGTGACAGATGGTTACTAGACTTACTGTGATGATCACATCATGAGGTATATAAATGTCCATCCACTATGTTGTACACTTGAAACTGATGTTAAGTATAATTTAAAAATAAATTTGAAAAATTGAATAAGAAACCCTAGACATACTCATTCTATGTAACTTGCCCTGTGAGAATCCTGTAAGAGCTTGAGAGAATCCACTGAGATAAAAATGAGTGAGTGGGTTTGTAAACAGCAAAGCTCTATGCAAACACCTTGCATTGCAATTGAGTCCTTAAGGATGGCTAGAACTTTGACAGAAGGCACTGAGGGAGAAGGGCCTCTGGGCAGAGAAAATGAAAGGAGAGGTGGTCTCTGTATGAGAGTAGGCAAAAGGAAAACGGGCTTTGAAGTTGAATAACATGAAAGCAGTCAAGGAAGGCCTATGTTGTCAAGACCATTAAGGAAACAAAGCCTGGGACGCCAAGCCTGAAGAATAAAACCAAGACCCATGCATGGTCTTACAATTGAGAGAGAGAGAGGTGGGGGGAGGAGTGGGAGAGAGGGAGGGAGAACACCATAATATCACAAAATACCCTCAACTGTCACTTGTACACACGCTTCTTTCACTCCCTAGATAGCCTCTTTGAAGGCCGGCAGGGACCTTCTTTGTTTCCAGGAGGTTTAGGGCACTGTGCTCCTTTCTCAAAGAATGAGTGTCCAAAGGGTAGGTAAACTTGGGACCTCTTTATCCTGAAGGGTGGTACAGACGCAGTTGACAAGTAGCCTCGAGAAGCAGGCTCTTCCGTGCGCACTGGGACGCCCTCCGGTAGCCCTTGTCCAAATCTATGAGAGCAAGCCTGATCCCAAAGTAAGGCATATTAAATCATAACTTGAATGAAGAGTAGGTGGTATCACGGGCTCCAGCAGAGCTTGTGCTCAAAAGCTCGAAAGTTGAGGGAGGAGCTAGGTACGAGGAAGACTCAGAACTACAATGGGGCGTGGACACGTGCGCAGGTACGTGCAGAAACGGGTGCAAACCAAACTGGTTAAATCCGAGTAAGGACTGAAATCTAATTAACTGTTTAAATCTATTTAATTGGAGTGTGCCGACGTCAGTTTCCTGGTTTTGATAGTGTAGTGTACGTACATAAGGTGTTGAAGGAAGAGAAGCTGGGTGGCTAAAGGGTATAAGGGACCACTTTGTACTAATTTTGTAACTTCTTGAGTCTAATTATTTCAAAACAAAAAGTGAAAAAAACAACACAAAGGGAACCTCCCCCCGGCCTTGCCCATCCTGGGACCGCCCCCCCCCCCCCCAGGCCTGCCCTCAACCGGGACTCAGCGTTGGTGAGGCGGGGAAGGTGTGGGTGGGTTGGTGGGTGGAGCAGGACCGCGCACGCGCAGTCCCGACGTCCCCCGCCGCGTCTCCGGGAAGTTACGCTTGCGCATCCCGGCCCCAGGCCTCCCCGCCAGCCCCTCACCGCGGCGGGGGACCGGCTGCCTTGGCCCCTCTGTGCTGCCGTCTTTTCCGGCAGTTGGGGAGCTTCCTGTTGCTCTCACCCGCAACCGTCCCTAGTGCCTTGATTCAGAACACCTCAGTCGTCCCCTCCCCTCCGCTGGCCGCTGGCTGCTGCCGCTGGGCTTCGGTCCGCACGTCGAGACCTGCGGCCCGGCTGGCGTCCGCGGCTGTCCCCGCCCGCAGCCCAGCCTCCGTCGGGGCTCCGGTGAGTGTCTTGCCGCTGCTGTCTTCAGTCATCCCAGGCTTTCCCCTCCTCCTCTTCTCCCGACTCGTTGGGACTCTCCCCTTCCCGCCTGCGCCCTCCTTCCCGCCCTGCCCTCTCGGTCCCTCGGCTGCTCTCCGGGTCTCCAGAGGCTCCCTCCGCGTCCGTGCTCTCCACGGTTTCCCAGCCCCAGGCTCCCACCCTGTCCTCCCTCTTTCTTCGCGTGCAGCTGGGGCGGGGAGCCAGGCCCTCCTCTTTCCGTGCCGCGAGCTTTGTCTGCTCGCTGCCGTCTCTCCGTTCCCTCCGGGATCTCGCTCGTTACCAGTTTTCACCTCCTTTTCCTTTTTTCTGGAGCCGAAGAACCCTAGAGCTGTAGTGCGAGGCAGGGATGTCGAAAGCCCACCTTTGGGTGTGGCACTTTTGAGCTTGTTCCTTTTCCCGTGGTTAACCTTTGGGGACTGAGCTTCAGATAATCGTAAAATCACAGGAAAACTTAGTGAGGACTCTTAAGAAGAGAGTAAAAAAGAAAAGTTGGTAAGGACTTAGAGGCAAGTCTGTGTCAGAAAGTGTGTACAAGGGCTCGTAGAGAGAGACAAGATATCCCAGTTGCACTTTAATTGATTAAAAGACGCAAATAGAAACTTGTTCTTTTTGAAACGCACAGAGGAAGGCTGGGCTAAAGCAGACCCTGCGCTCCCTCTCTCTTTCGGGCCACCCTGGCTCGGAATTAGAAGTAGCCTGGCAGTAGTAGCCGCGGTTTCCCTGATTGTAAAACAATCGTCACAGTTACAGGTTCCACTCGACTCCAAAAAGATATCACCTTCCCGGTAAGAGCGTGGGAAGTCTGTCCGCCAGCTCTCCATAGAAAACCATTCCCCATCACACACATATTCTTAATTCCTAGTAATGGGCATAAACACGAGTGTCCTCCTAGTAAGCTTTTTATAAGGTGCTCACTAAGTGCACAGCATTGCCCATGAGGTGGGGGAAGGATATTAAGAGTAGTGGAAGACAGGATACTTGCTTTCTAGTGGCTTACAGTTTAGTGAAATTAGGTGGGTGACTCTTAAGTAGCAGTCTTAGCCCCAGTGCTGAATTGTCCAAATGAAAGATACTAGATTGTCCAGTCACAGAGAAGTAAATGAAGAATTGATCAGAGAAGAGGCATTTATAGAGATAACAGTACCATTGTGAAGTGTACCAGATATAACTCTATTGACTAAACAATGGTTTTCATTTGATCTCCTTTTATGTTTGCAGTGCCTACCCCTAACTTTTTCTCACCTCCCCGTTATTCCCTAATTCTGCAGAGTTGGATAATGAAACAAAGAGACCAAGGGCCTCCCATGGTCTGTAGGTCAGGGCATGGAGGCTTGGATGATCAAACACAAGAGGGAAAGCCATGTCTTATACAAAGCATTTGGTTGACCCAGTGAACCTATAAATTGCTGTAGGGCAAGCGTCATTGTATCTTTGGATGAAAGGTCTTAGAATTAGGCTAACCCTTCTATGAGTGGATGAAGAGCAGCAGGAGGGTTTGAAGAAAGGTGGAAGAGAAGGGCAGTGCAACCTTTGCCTTACATTAGAGACTGTATGTGAAGGTCGGAAACTGTTCTGCTTGAACACTTACTGGCCCACTACATAAGCATCTTTGAGTGACCTCAATCTCTTGTTATTGTTTTTAAAAGTTTAGTAAGTCATACTATGACTTAAATGGGTTAAAACTGTCCCCCAGCTTTTATACACTCATAGATGGAAATGTAATTTTGTTCTTTTAGCTTTGTTGACAACTGAAAAATCACTCACTTGCTCAACTCACATTTATTAACCACCATTTATTATGTGTAAGACACTGTCTCAGGCTTAACTCTCTCGAGTTGTATTTTTTAAGTTGAAGTAATATCAGTTCTTAAAATGTATAAGGGGTATCCAGAAATTTTCAGAAAAGGGAGGAGTGGAGTACAAAGTGCTCACTTGCTTCAGACTTGTTTTTAAATCTGGTTTGAAGATTTCTTCACCAAACTTAGAGTGCATGTGGTTTTCATTGTGGGTGGAGAGAGGGTACAGGCTGACAAATAAGGAACCACACCCAAGCCCCAAGCTTCATAAACTAAACAGAGTTTGTTTTTTTTTTTAAATTCTGAGATCCTAAAAACACTTGAGTTTGCTTTGGTATTAGCAGAAAGTTTCCATTAAAAAATAACATTTTATGATAAGGTAGAGCTGAGTTCAACATTTTATGATAAGGTAGAGCTGAGTTCAATGTCTTGAATTTGTGATTACTGATAATTTTGGTGCATTATGAATCAAGATGTTTGACTCTGAAGCAGAGCCTTGATTTTGAATCTCTTTGCTCTGAAAGGGTTAGTCTCTGTTTTTTTTCCCTGAGTGTCATTTTAGGAAATTGTTTAATGTTGTCTTTTTTCTTAGTAATAACAAGTGCACATTCCTTACAGGCCTTAGTTTGCTATACAAAACAGACGCTGCTAAAGCATTAAGAGGAGAACCTTCAGAAAATTTTTCAGAAAATGCAGTACCTTTGAAACTGGACCTTGGCACCTGCTGATTTTTAGTCAGCTGTATTTTGGGATGAAAAAACAGACTTAGAGGCAGGTTGTGTGGGAGGAAGACATAAGGATACAATATTGAACATTATTGCCAGAGCTGGAGCAAGCCAAGGTTGGTGAGCAATCTGGTCAAGTGTGACAATGTAGGATGGCAAAAATTTCTGGGGAAAAATGAAATTTAAATATAGGAAAACATGTTCTGTCAGCTATTGAAACTTCGTTAGTATTTGCTTTCTCATACATATACCTGGGAGCCTAGGGTGTCTTGTTTCTGTGGCATCTTCTGTCACTAAACTTATAGTTCACTTCTTTGTAATATGTTTCCATCATAGGTCTTTGTTTTAACTTGTAAACTCAAGTAGATAGCAAACATTTATCAAATAGACATGTCAGAGTACATATATACCTATAGATGAGCATTTTAGTCAGATATTTTTAAACTATAGAAATTACACATTTAAATGTTAGTGGTAACTTAATGGTAATAGTACATGGTTATTGAAGAAAATATAGAAAATGTGGAAAGCATAAACAAGAATAAAATGATCTACTCTCACAGTCTAGAGTTAAACCACTAATAACATTTTGATACAAATGTTTTTAATAATTCTGTGCACATACAGTAAACACATAAACATAATTGAGAAGGTATACATTTTGTTTTGTAACCTACTCTTTTCACTTGGATTGGAAACATTTTCCCTGACATTAAACATTTTAACATATTTTAATTGTTTGCATGTTTCATTATAGGACTTTTTCATAATTTAATCAGTTCTGTTGTTGGTTATTCAAGTTATTTCTAGTTTTTCTTTGTTTACAATGCTGCATCAAACTGTCTTGTGTATGAATCCCTATGGGTCTTTGAGTTCTCCAAGGTAGATACCTGGATGGCAAAGAATTGTACTATGTTTATATTATATATTCTTTTAAAAAATATTTTTTTAGTAAAGATTTTATTTATTTTTTTAGAGAGAGGGGAAGGGAGGCCGAAACAGAGGGAGAGTCATATCGATGTGGGAGGGAAACATTGAGCAGTTGCCTCTTGAACACCCTTGACTCGGGACCTGGCAGGCAGCCCAAACATGTGCCCTGACTGGGCATTGAACTGTTGACCTTTTGGTTCATAGGCCGGTGCTCAACCCACTGAGCCTCACCAGTCAGGGCTATATTATATATTTTAATTTACACATATGGTGTTGTGATCATGTTCTTTTCCTTTTAAAAAATATAGCAGTGTATAAAGATACATTCATGGTCACTTTTAGAGGTAGATTTGCTTCTGACTGATACGTGGTATTTCTTTCTATGTGTCCACAGCATTTTATTTATTTCTTTACTGAATTTCCTGTAACAACATGATGGCATAATGAACATCTCCTGTAATGCACATCCTTGTGCATATCCTCTTAAGAGCCTGAGTGACAATTTCTCTAGGCCTTTTACCTAGGGATGGTACTTCTGGGTGTCTACTAATGTCTACTAGGACATTAATATCTACTAGGATATTATTTTCACCAAGTGTTCTGTTTTTTACTTCTTTGTCCTACAGAAGAGTTGTCCCAATTTATAGTCCTACCAGGAGGGTAGGAAAGTGTGTAATTGGTGGATTCTAAAGACTAAAACCACTTCTTTTCTTTGTTTCTAGCAGCCATGGCAATGACAGGGTCAACACCTTGTTCATCCATGAGTAATCACACAAAAGAAAGGGTGACAATGACCAAAGTGACACTGGAGAATTTTTATAGCAACCTTATTGCTCAACATGAAGAACGAGAAATGAGGTAAAGAATTTTGTTTAAGAAAATGCTGTCACGGTTTTGGTATTTATGTGTAGTATCATAAAGCACCTTCATAATATCTTTTCTTTGAAAGGAGACAAGAATAGCAGCAGCCATGTTATAGCCTGTCCCATTAGAGTGGATTGACAGTGTCACTGGTTTCCAAAGCCCTTGCTGTCATAACCCACAATCACTGGAAATAGTCTGAGTCTACAACATTCCATGGTAGTATAAAACAGTGTGGCCAGACCCTCGGAGTTCATGAAGGCAGTGTGATCTGATGGAAAGCACAACTCTCCCAGAGTCAGGCTTGGGTTCAGAACCCTGCCTCCACCATTTTAGTAGCTGTATGAGGCTAGAACAAGTTTCTGAGTTTTTCTGTTTCTCAGTTCCCACATCTGGAAAATGAGGGGATTGTCGTGGGGGTTCAGTGTGACACCTGTGAGTACCTACCATGGTGCTTCACACGTCATAATCGTGTAGTTAATGGTGGTGGTAGCAGCTCTTGCTATTGATCTGGTGTATACTCTTCATGTGGTAACTCAAGATTTATTTCTAGCATTTTATTATGAAAATATTCAAAGTGCATATAAGTTGAAAGAATTGTACAGTGGATACCCATAAATATATCATGTAGATTCTACAGTTATCATTTGTTTTATCACATAGCCCTGTATCCATCCATCTATCTGTTCATTAATCTATCTTAATTTTTGCTGTACTTTAAGGTATGTATCTGGTATCAGCATATTTTACTTCTGAATATTCTGCTTGTATAACACACTAGAGTTCAGTATTTTAAGGGAGTAAAATTTGCATGCAATGAAATGCATAGTCTTAAGGCACAGGTGGCAAACACAAGCCCCATGGGCTGAATCTGTCCCTCCACCTTGTTTTATCTGGCCTGGCACCTTGTTTATACCCAGTGGCAGCGCTGAGCTCTCGCTTAACTGTTAAGGAGTAGTTACATTTATACAGTCCTAAAATTACATTCAGCCCTTTGAAGGCAACCGCAAGGCTGATGTGGCCCCCAGTGAAAATGAGTTTGACACCCCTATCTTATGGGTTACGAATACCCCTTTGGCAAATGCATGCACCAGTATAACTTAAACCCCTATCAAGATATAAAACATTGCCATTATCCCAGAAAGTTCTTTCATTCCTGGAAATTCTCCTTCAATCCCAGAGAACCACTGTTGTGATTTTGTTTTTACCATTGATTGGTCTTGCCTATTCCATACAAATGGAATGTGCAAACTGATGTGGTAACTGTGTTTACCACTGTAATTGTTGGTAACAGTGACCATATGGTAACTACTCATTTGAGAAAGGCATCTTTCACTCAGTGTAATGTTTTCAAGATACATTCATGTTGCTATTGTATCAAAAGCTTATTCATTTATATTGCTGATATAAACCATTCTGGATTTGTGTGTGTGTGTGTGTGTGTGTGAATGCATCCAAAATGTGTTTATTGGGATGGTTCTCCACTCATCCTGATTTGGGGTGCCTTTAGTGCTGGCTAAAGATGGTGGTGATTTTATAGTACCCTGGGCATTTCACATCCATGAAGTGGGAATTGGGGCTCTGCACCAGGTGCTTCGTGTTTTTTCTCCTCTTTGGAGAGGGATGAAGGAGATCCTTATCGAGAGGCATGTTGTTGTGGAGAGGTTTTCACCACCAGAAAGCCTATTCTATTTTTTGACTGTAATTCAGTTTGTTTGTACAGTCTTCTGTTCACAAACATCGGGGCTTTTTCAGTTTTTTGCTACTTTGAGTAAGTTTCTATTATCAGTAACATTTGTTATAGATCTTTTCGTATTTGTTTTCAGTTCTTGGGTCAATTTAGGAGTAGAATTGCTGGGTCATAAACATACATAGGCATATGTTTAGTTTTGTAAGAAACTGCTAGACCTGCCCTGACTGGTGTGGTTCAGTGGATTGAGTGCTGGCCTGTGAACTGAAGGGTCGCTGGTTCGATTCCCAGTCAGGGCACATGCCTGGGTAGTGGGCCAGGTCCCTGGTGGTGGGCGCATGAGAGGCAACCACACATTGATGTTTTTCTCCCTCTCTTTGTCCTCCTTTTCTCTCTGAGTAAAAATAAATAAATAAAATCTTAAAAAAAGAAATTACTAGACCTTCTTCCAAAATATTACCAACAATGGATGAGAGTTCTAGTTGTTTTACATTTTTGCTAACATTTGTGTTGTCAATCTTTTAACTTTATTCTTGTGGGTGTTTAGTGGTATTTCACTATTGTTTAAATTTGCATTTCTCTGATTATTAATGATGTTGAGGTATTTTTAAAAATATATTTTATTGATTATTTTATTACAGTTGTCCCATTTCCCCTCATTTATTCCCCTCCACCCTGCACACCCCCTCCCACCCACATTTCATGCCCATGGGTCATACATATAAGTTCTTTGACTTCTACATTTCCTATACTATTCTTAACCTCCCCCTTTCTGTTTTCTACCTACCATTTATGTTACATATTCTCTGTATCTTTTGCCCCTCTCTCTCCCTCCCACTCCCCTGCAGATAATCCTCCATGTGATCTCCATTTCTGTGGTTCTGTTCCTGTTCTAGTTGTTTGCTTAGTTTGTTTTTGTTTAAGGTGTGGTTGTTAATAACTGTGAGTTTGTTGTCAGTTTACTGTTCATATTTTTTCTTCTTTTTCTTAGATAAGCCCCTTTAACATTTCATATAATAAGGGCTTGGTGATGATGAATGAACTCCTTTAACTTGACCTTATCTGAGAAGCACTTTATCTGCCCTTCCATTCTAAATGAAAACTTTGCTGGATAGAGCAATCTTGGATGTAGGTCCTTGCCTTTCATGACTTGGAATACTTCTTTCCAGCCCCTTCTTGCCTGCAAAGTCTCTTTTGAGAAATCAGCTGACAGTCTTATGGAAACTCCTTTCCCATAAGGAGACAGTAGGTAACTCCTTTTCTCTTGATGCTTTTAAGATTTCCTCCTTATCTTTAATCTGGGTAGTGTAATTATGATGTGCCTTGGTGTGTTCTTCCTTCGGTCCAAGTTTTTTGGGACTCTCTGGGCTTCCCAGACTTCCTGGAAGTCTATTTCCTTTGCCAGATTGGGGAAGTTTTCCTTCATTATTCGTTCAAATCAAATAAGTTTTCAATTTCTTGTTCTTCCTTTTCTTCTGGCACCCCTATGATTCAGATGTTGGAACGTTTAAAGATGTCCAGGAGGTTTCTAAGCCTCTCCTCATTTTTTTGAATTCTTGTTTCTTCATTCTTTTCTGGTTGAATGTTTCTTTCTTCCTTCTTGTCCAAACTGTTGATTTGAGTCCCAGTTTCCTTCCTGTCACTATTGGTTCCCCGTACATTTTCCTTTATTTCACTTAGCATGGCCTTCATTTTTTCATCTAATTTGCGACCAAATTCAACCAATTCTGTGAGCATCCTGATTACCAGTGTTTTGAACTGTGCATCTGATAGGTTGGCTACCTCTTTGTAGCTTAGTTGTATTTTTTTCTGGAGCTTTGATCTGTTTTTCCACTTGGGCCTTTTTTTTTTTTTCTGTCTCTGCCCACCTGTTACATAGTAAGGGGCAGAGCCTTAGGTTTTCACTAGGGTGGGGTAACCCACATCGCTGGGTTGTGACGCGGTATTGGGGCGGGGAGCCTGAGAGGAAACAATGGCGCTTGCTCCGCTCTCTGCTGGTTTTCAGTCACTAACTCTGTTTCTCACAAGCAAATTGGGCCGTTCTGGTGCTATTTCCCCAGGTGGGTGGGTTTGTGTACATTGTAGGACCCTGTGGGTCTCGCCAGCTAACTCTCCTGTGAGGCTGGGAGTTTCTCCGCTGCCTTCTCAACCCCCACAGGTTTTTTCAATCAGTGTTTTGAGGCTTTATTTCCATGCGCTTGGACCCTGGGTTGCGTGGTCTGGTTTGCTCCCCAGTTGTCCCTCCGGGTTCATCTGTACTTGAATGTGGGACTGCCCACTCACAATCCTGTGTCTCGCTGGTCCAGCAGCTGGTCCGCCAGCCGCCACCTTGCCACAAGTCCTCTCTGCTGGCTGCTCATCTCCTCCCCTTCTACCGTTCTGGATAAATGTGTCTTCTTTAACTCCTTGGTTGTCAGACTTCCATACAGTTTGATTTTCTGTCAGTTCTGGTTGTTTTTGTTTTTAAATTGTTGCCCTTTTGGTTGTGCGAGGAGGCATAGTGTGTCTACATACACCTCCATCTTGGCCGGAAGTCCTGATGTTGAACTATTTTTATGTGCTTTTTGGCCATTTATATATTTCCCTTGTGAAAATTTAATCAAATTTTTTGACCATAGAGTTGTAGGAGTTCTTTATATGTCCTAGGTACCTGCCCTTTGTCATACATAGTTTCTCCCCGTCTGTTGCTTTTCTTTTCATTTTCCTAACAATGTTAAATGAGCAGAGGTTTTCAACTCAGGCTTCTTTTTGTCTTCTTTTATAGTTTTTGCATTCTGTGACTTTTAAGAAACCTTTGCCTATCCCAAGTCATAAAGATATTCTTCCATGTTTTCTCCTGGAGGTACTATGGATTTAGTTTTTACATTTAGTACTATGACTCATCTTGAATTAATAAGTGTGTGATATAAAATGGGGGTTGAGACTTATCTGCTTTTTATGGATATCCAGTTATTTTAACACCATTTTGTCGTATAAAAGGGTTTTTTCCTCTCATTCGATTGTTTTGATATTTTTTGTCAAAATTTAAAACCATGTAAGTGTGTATCTATTTCTGGATGCTCTGTTCTATTTCATTGATCTATTTATTCTTATTCTAGTATCACACTGTCTTGATTACTGTTGTTTTGTGGTAAATTTTGAAGTCAGGTAGTGTAGGTTCTCAACTTTGTCCTTTTTTTTCCTTATTTTTCAAGCTTGCTTTGGATATTTTAAGTTCTTTACAGTTCCATATAAATTTTAGAGTTTATTAATTTCTACAGAAAAGCTTGATGGAATTATGATTGTATTGAATCCATAGATCAGTTTA